TAATATAATCAGTTTTCAAATTTAAATATTAATATTTAATAAAATAAATTTTTAAATTTTGAATTAAATCTTTATTAATAAAACGATATAATTTAGTATTGGGATTACAATTTATTTCGCGTGTTGGACTAATATTCACTTTTTCCTTTTTGATGTTAGTGTGTACTTGTCTCAACTTTAAAAAAAACTAAAATCCAATTTAAAATTCAAAAATCCAACCCTATTAAACACTAATATCTAGATTTAGAAACCTATTATATATTATAATATAATTAGTTTTCAAATCTAAATATTAATATTTAATAAGATAAATTTTTAAATTTTGAATTGAATTTTTTTTTAATGAAAACTTTGAATTGAATTTTAATTAAATAAAATAATGTAATTTAAGGTTGGGATTTTAATTTATTTTGGAAGTCAAAACAAATATGCATTTTTTTTCTTTTTTGAGTTAATGTATACTAGTTCCGACTCTCAAAAACTATTAGAGTCTCAATCTACATTCGAAAATTGAAATTTCAATTTAAAATTTAAAAATCCACTTATTAAATGTTGATATTTATATTTGAAAACCAATTATATATTATAATATAATCAATTTCTAAATTTAAATATCAACATTTAATAAGAGAGATTTTTAAATTTTAATTTGAGTTTTATAAAACTGGAAAACGCGGCATAAGCGACAATACTATATTCGACAGCCACATTGCTGTCGAAAATGTGTACATAATCGACAGAAAGATTGACGAAGATGTAAAATTGACGATGATAATGGAAATTTTTTAATTAATTAAATAAAACAACATAATTTAATATTAGGATTTTAATTTATTTTAGGAGTCGGGACTAATATATATACTTTTTCCTTTTTTTAAATGTAATTCTTATTGAGTATATACTTTCACTTAAATCAAAAAAATTTATCAATTATTATTTGGACAATAATTGATACACTTTTCAGTTCAACGCATTGTATAACATACTATGGTTTAACCATTAAAATTTGCCTTTGGAAATTTTTTCGTCATAAATTCAAATTTAAAAATAATAATTTCTTAATGAGTGTGTTAAAAAGTATATTATAGAATGTGTTGAACCAAAAGGTATACCAATCATTTTCCTTATCATTTACTTAGTACTCCTTCTGTCCCAAAATAATTATCATTTTTTTACTTTGAGTTTATCCTAATTTAATTGTCATTTTTTTATTTTTTAAGGTAGACAACTATTTTTTCTCTAGTTTAACCATATCATTATCAATTTTTTTTATTAATAATCTTATTGCAAAAAATCTGACTTTATCTTTTAGATTTTTCTTGAGAGTAATATAGAAAAATCTATGAATTATCCTCATATTCATAATTAAAAAAAAAAAACAACAACAACAATCATTTTAGAATAAAGAAAGTATATCAAACCGTCACATTATTTGATAGACTAGGACAACAAGAAAACTATTAAAGGAAGTATAGTCGGAGGAAGAATGCGCAATGACAGCATAAGAAAGTCAGCAGAGTTAATTAAGGAATTAAGAACACAGCAAATCAAGCTAAATTGGTGTATCGTTCATAAGGACAACGGTTCTGCTATTTCAATCAAGTATTATGTTTCTTTGGTGTGGTAGGCAGTGATATATCATTAAAAAATAAGTGATAAGATAACTTTTTATATAATTTTTTTATACAATCATTTTATACAATTTTTATATGTTATTAAATAAGTAAAAATACTTAATATTACAAATTTTAAATAAATAAAAAAAATCAATCATTTAAATAATATGTAAAGTTATAAAAAAATCATACAAAAAATTATCTTTAACTTATTTTTCTTGAAAAATATCTACTAACACCATCCTACAAATTATTTACATTCCATATATGCGTACATAATTACAGGCACTAAATATGATTCTACATTTGTATATATATCTGCTTATTTATACAGGATGAATCAAGTGAATATAACTGAGTATTCTCTCAAATATCATCCTCTTCTTCTTTTCTTTCACATAAGTAACAGAGGTAATCAGACATGCGGCACTGTAGTACGGGAAAGAGATGGTATCTATATGGAGCTCAAGTTTTTATTACATTTTTCGTGTTGTTTGCTCCTCAGGCACTATGTTATTATCAAATCATTCCATTAAGCTCAAGTAAGTACGTACCTATGGATTTATATACATGTTTATATATATAGAGATAATATTTATTTATACACAACTCTTATACACATTATTTATATAAAATATTAAATTTTCATTTTTGTACTATAAATTGTTGAGATTTATTTATTTTTTATTTTATATTTTAAAGATATTTGTCCTTTTTATCTAAACAATTATAGTAAATGTTAATCATTAGTAGATAAATGAATTGTCAATATATATATATGAAATTTTTTTTTTACAAATTACATTTTTAAGTTTATTTTGAAGGACTTATCTAAAAATGTTTTTTTAATTAATATTTTTAAAAACTAACCATTAAATTAAAAATTTTTAATATATAAATCATGTGTATTAATTTTTAAATTAATTTAATAAATCTAACCAGTTCCTTAATTTTATAAGGCCCTCTAAAAAAATTAAAAAAGATAACTTGCACTGTACTAATCCCTATATATATTGTATATGACTTGTCCAATTTGTTCATCATAGAGTAACTATAATCGAGCACGGAGCATCGTTAGTTTTTATATTTATTTCAGTCAAAAAAAATTATGTTTTTTATACTACTAGATTTTACTTGTATTTATATCATAATTTAGTATTTAATTGTGGCATAACTGAAAATTTTTGAATATTTTGAGTCTTTAGATAAAGACCATGGGGGGAAGATTTTGGAAAAAAATAATATGCTTAATGTATTTTTTATTTTTCATAGTTTTTATATTTTTATTTCTGTCAAAAAATAATTATGTTTTTAATACTACTAGAATTTAGTTGTATGTATATCATAATTTAGTATTTAATAGTGGCATAACTGAAAATTTTTGAATATTTTGAGCCTTTAGATAATGATTTATAGAATAGAATTTATATTTGTTATGCGAGGCCAATTACTTAATTAGTTGTCTCAGTTAGAGGTACTCTGTCAACTACACTTTGCTTCGTGTATTATGTTTTGAGTTTTTTATTGGAGGTATTTAATTAATTTAATCTTTTTCATTATTAGTTAATTTTACATATTATTAATCTAAGCTCTACCAAACTCATATTTATTATCTTTCAAGTTTGTTTTTATTTATTTAATATAGTCAGGATGTTTTTAAGTCAATTTACACATACCTCAAGAATAATCCCTCCCTTCCTAACTCAAAAAAAGGCAATCTTATAGTTTATATTATAGAATATATTTAAAAATATGAATATGATGGAAAATTAAACTAAAAAGTACAAATAAAATTAAAGAAGAAAAAATATTTGTTTATTTTGAAATTTTAAAAAATAATTTGTGACAAACTTTTAGCAAAGGGAACAAATTTATATATATATATATATATATATATGCTAGAAAAAGAAATTTGTTGCTCCTAAAATTCTCTTCTAATTCTGTCCCTGACTATAATTATATAAAATAATATTTTGAAAAAATGAGTTTTTTTGATATCGAGAATTCTTTCTCTACCTAATAATCTTTGTTTTATAGTTTGGAATAATTTAATACGGGAAACAAGGTGGCCATAATTATTGGAAGATAATATTTTTACTAATGTGGAACTTATTTTAATTGGTTGCACTACATAGGAAATGATGCTAGCACTGAGGATCATGGAACTCAATCTAATCCGGGTCACAACTCTCGTCAACCTCCAGTAGATGGTATCGATGGTATTGATGTGGATTATACACCTCCACATACGAGTCCTCCTCAGGAACCCCCAGTAGGTGGTATCGATGGTATTGATGTTGATTATACACCTCCACATACAAGTCCTCCTCAGAAACCTCCAGTAGTGGATGGTATTAACGGTATTGATATTGATTATACACCTCCACATACGAGTCCTCCTCAGGAACCTCCAGTAGTGGATGGTATCAATGGTTTTGATATTGATTATACACCTCCACATACGAGCCCTCCACACAAACCTCCAGTAAGTGGTATCAATAGTATTGATGTTGATTATACTCCTCCACATACGAGTCCTCCTCAGGAACCTCCAGTAGGGAATGGTATCAAGGGTATTGATATTGATTATACACCTCCACATACGAGTCCTCCACATGAACCTCCAATAAGTGACATCGATGGTTTTCACCATTAGGCCACCGACACAGCAAAATAATTGTGTGGGTCTGTTTTGAGTAATGTAACTTAAACAACTCTTGTGATGATGTAATGAGTTAGAGTACCTTTGTACTCCTTAATAAAATTATTTTGCTGATAAAAAAAAAAAAAAAAAGGGCATCGATGGTATTGATGTTGATTATACTCCTCCACATACGAGTCCTCCACACTAACCTCCTATTTACTCAAAAAAATTTGGTGTTAATTAGTCAGGACTAATTCATATCCCACCTCTGCCACCGCCACCGCCACCCTCACCGCCCACAAAATGAATCCAACAATTCGAATTTCCATCCAGTTCTAAAACTTTCATTGAACAAAACCAATTTAATAATAATAATATTGCTTTACCTTGTATAAGAAGTGGAGTTTCTCAATCGTGCATTCTCCTTATTTATTAATAAAATTTTCTGATTGTTCTTGAATCTATCCGGGATTTAAATATAGCTATATATATACATTCAATATGCTAATTTTCATTACATATGTATTTTTTAAAATAGTAATTAATACACTTTTTAGTTCAACACACATTACATAACATATGTATTAAAAAATTATTTTTTTAAATTAAAATTAAACAAACTTAAAAATATATCTATGCATATAGTATGTAAAAATCATCTATATTGATATTATATTTTAATAATTAAACTAATCAAGTGTAAAAAAATTTCAAATCATTATGTTTATTACTCAATTGTAATTACGAAAATATTTACATTTTTAATTGTATTTTCTTGTTTATCTTTAATTGATCATATATATACAACGGAATTGCTAAGTGATTGAATGAAATTTCGCCTGTTCTTTTTGTACCTTAAGTCCAGCATTACCCTTCTTCAAGATGTAATAAGTGATAAAAAGGAAAGCAAGTATATGATGTGTCGATAAAATTGAACCTTACATCACATCCACAAATATCATATATGGATGGATAAAATTGCCATTAACAAAGGTGTTTTTCCAATATAAATGGTACCTTTTTAAGCCGTTTAGGTGTTAAAATTACCAAAGCACCATGACAAATGACATATATAGAGGGCAATCTCATTAAAGGTATTGTGGTAATTTTAATATTCTAACTGCACAAAAAAAAAATCTGTTTTAAAAAATACTTTTCTAATTCTAATATGATAAAGTAAAAGAAATTTTTTTCTGTAGCCTTAACAAATCCTTCCATGGCAAAAATCAGAGCTATATTATGATGTGTTGGGTTTTAATTGGTCCATATTATGTATATACTAATGAATTGTAATTAAAAATTTTATACATAAAAAAAAATAAATAAATAAATACAGAGCAGGTATTACCCGGACAACTTCTCTAGTTCTGATTTCTTTTATTCTTTTTTGTAGGTAAAAATAATAGTAGTGGTTCATATGTTGTAATACAACATTAAACAACATCATATATACAGCAGATCAATAACTGATTGATGAATGAAATTTCGCAGGTTCGTTTTCATGCATCAATTCAGCATTACCCCCAAAACAACTTCTTCAAGATGAAATAAGCGATCAAAAGGAAAGTAAATATAAGGCACCAGCACATAAAAGTACAGCTCGCACCATCGCTAATTTGCGAGGAGGAGCCATTCTGTTGCTGCTGCTCACTGCCTTCGATCTTTAGGGGCTTTGTTGGAGGTGATGGATGTAGTGATGGTTGATGGGGTGGAGGCAGAGCTTTAGGTGGGGCAGGTGATGGCTGGGCTACAGGAGGTGGTGGCTTGGATACGGAAGGTGGAGGTGATACAGTTGATTGTGGCTGAGCTACAGGTGCTGCCGGTGGTGGTTTTGGAGTTGATTCACCGGGTTGTTGCTCAACTGGGATAGGCACAGTACGCGCCTGCGGGCACCAGTTTGAAGAATATGAATATATAATTAACAAACTAATTGATTCACAATACAGGACTGCAAAATTCACTCACCAACTTCTTAAATTGGAGGCTGTACAGCAATTGAATGTACCGCTGCTTAGCTAGTTTCTGATCCTTGTTCATCTGCCTCCAAAAGTCATAGATCGACCCCATGGTCACCAATCTGTTTGCATAGATCTTCCATGTATAGCTGCATTGCACCAATTTGCATTAGAGTATAGACCTACAAGGTCCAAATTCATTAATTTCAGGGAATGTATGTGAATTGAGCATATATGGAAATACCATTCATTGATACGTTGGAGTCCTGCAGCTGAGACAGTGCTCCAATATTGAGGATCCCTGTTACACTTGTCAAAGAAATCAGCAATCCTGTTGGCAGATTCCTCTCCATTGTTAGGATCAATATGGAACCCCGAGACCCCATCCACAATGATCTCTGCTGGGCCTCCTTTATTGGTGGCAAAGGTGGGCAATCCACAGTTCATAGCCTCAATCACAGTTAGACCAAATGCCTCATACAATGCAGGCTGCACAAAAGCTCCCTTTGTATCCGCAATGCACCTATACAGCTCTGCATTGCGATACCTGTCACTTTGAGCTGCAATCCATCTAATCTGCCCCTTCAGCTGGTATTTCTCAATCAAACCATGCATCTTCTTAATCTCCGCCGTTTCTTCTCTATCATTCGACTTGGATGGATCAAAAAATCCAGCTACAACAACAAGATTTACCAAATCTCTTAGCTTCTTGTTCTTCCCATACCACTCCACTAGCCCCGTAATGTTTTTCACTGTGTCCAGCCTCGCCATGGAGAAGATAATGGGTTTCTTCCTCTTAGCAAGAGACCCACTGAAACAAAAAATACATACATATATATATACAATACAGTTCAGTTGTTCAGTTTTTCACCTGTACCTAATGGTAATAGGTTGACATGGAATTAAGTCTTACTAGTGTTCGTTGTTGTCTACGTTATTGTAGAGTAATTCTTCAATGGCAGGATGGAAAGTGGTGTAGCGCCTCAGTGTCTCCGAATAGGGGAAGTAGACAGATTGATCAGCTCCAGGGGCCACAATGTTGAACTTGGGATCAAAGATATTGACACCCGACGCAATCCGGCAGAGTCCCGGCATGGTAAACGCCATATGACTTTCATACTGCCCTGGCTTCTCCTTGCTGAATTTCCAGGAAAAATTAAGCAACCCGTTCACATATTCATCGAGATGGAATGGATGCAATGGGTGAAATAAAAGATTACTTTACCTTCCAGCAATTTCTTGATAGGTGCTGGTGATGATGAAATCGGCGGCGTTCATGGCGATTAAGTCAGCTGTGAATTGACACGAAAAATGGTATTTGTTGTCGAATTCCTTCCATTTGGCATCGGAATCTTGGTACTTGGTCTTTTCCAGAGCATGTGCAATTGTCGCCTGAGTAACACCAAGTTTTCCGGCGACGACGGACGCAACCAAGTTTCCGTCGGTGTAGTTTCCGATCACAAGGTCCGGTTTGCATTCCATGTGTTGAAGAATCTTAGCAGCGGCATTCTGTTAAATTCCCAAAATAAAATTAAAAACAGAGAAGCATAATCAACGGTGGCGCTACCCTGAGGCCGGCGGGCACAGCCTGAATTAGGACTTACCTCGGCGAATTTCTCAAGGTATGGGTAAACATCGAATCGGGAAACCCATTGGCGAAGGATATACCCATTCGGAGTGACGAAAGGAACCCTAAGAATGTGGGAATGCTTGGTTCCGATGATGGCTTCCACCTCCTGGTTGCACTTGGTCCCTCTGGACTCCGGTATAAGTCGCGTCACCACGACGATCTGAGGCTTGACTCCAAGACCCTGCTGTTTAATTCTGAGCAGTAATTCCTCCTCCAGAGCTCTTACTTGATCCAAAATGTAAACCACCTGGCCGCCAGTATCCGGCAGTCCGAGGACATCAGACTGCCCGAAAAACCCATGAGGGGAGAAGATCACGATGTTAAAGACCTTGGGAATCCGACTGAAAAGCATCTCCATTTTTCCGGACTCCGGCGCTTGGATGACCTCCGCCAGAAGGTTCATCGTCTCCTTTGCTCTCTCGGCAGTGTCCCCCCATCCCTTCTCAAAACCCAATTCTTTCAATTTCGGCTCGAAATTCTGAAATGGGGTGTCTTTTGACAGGGCAGAAACGACGTCGGAAGCTCTAAGTAGTGCTGTCTTGAGCTTCCCAACCGTATTCAAAGTCGAATTAATCATAAGTTCCTGAATTTGCTTGTCAATATTAGTTTACTCTCGTTTTATAATGAAATTAAATGACATAAATCAAGAAAAAAAGGTGCCAATTTAGTTAATAAAGTTTCTTAGATAACGAGATCAAATCTTGTCATTTTTAATAAAAAAAATTACTGTCTATTGTGTAACAGACACAATACATATATAGTTATGTTATTTACCTGGCCGTTTTGCTTAAGCCCTAACAAGTAGTCCAGCAAAGACTGCATGGTTTCAGATTTCCCACATAAAAACTTGGAGGTGTACTTCATTCCATTCCCAATGCTGGAAGAAAGAGTCAAGTGCGGAATCTGGTATTCTACCGCTCCAAAATCTATCTCCAAAGCATTCTCATCTCTTGCCCTGCATTCAACGGAAAAATATTTCATGTCAACTTGCTATATTGATTGTTGGGGTTACTAGGAAAGTAAGTTGGGCTTAGAGTATGTACCAGGTCTCGTCAAAGATTGTTTCTTTGAAGTTGAGGTATTCAGAGACAGTGATGGCTTCAACCTCGAGAGATTCAGCGTCCACCTTAACAAACTCCCAAAACCCAGGATTAGGTCTTACAGCAAATCCAACATAGGGTGAAACCACGGCAGCCTCCTCAGTGGATATTAAGATAAAACCAATTAATCCCTCCAACACTTCGCTTCTTTCCACCTTGTCTTCAATTGTTTTCTCTACTTCTTCCATCAAATGCTGACGCTTCAACAACCTCTTTCCACTTGCTACCAACCTTCAAAAATATGGGTTTCAAGTTTAATTAATGTATAGAAAAAATTCATCAAAAATTTGATGTAAAATTAGAAAAAGATAGATATATAGATACCTGGCAAAACATTTCTTCATATGATAGCGACTCTGCTTTAAGGCATCGGGCATGCTATCTGCAATTGTGTCTGAGCGTTTGAAAGATGGGGTAGAAGCCATTTTGCTCAAAACAAACAGAAACAATGTGGAAACTACAATTAATAATTTGCACGTTTGGTTGATGGATGGGTGATTGTGTTTTTTTGAGAGATGTATTTATAGAGGGGACCGAAACAGGCTTAGGCAAACGGAGGAGGAGAAGGAACATTCTTTGGGATCATTAGTGGGGCAAGAAATGTAGAAAGGTAGAGAAAGGAATTTGTGCTTGTGTAGACAGACAAAAAATAGAGGAAAGAATTTGAAGCTACTTGGAGTTGTAGCCTGGCTGCCCTGCTCTGTCGTTTGTATGTTGAGATGGGCGACTATTCTATGCTTTTCTTCCTTTTCCATTCTCCCTTTTTTTTTCTTTTTTTTCTTTTTCTTTCCTTTGGGTAAATGCTTTTCTTCTTTTTCATGTTTGTGTTTTTCAGCTTTTGCCCTCTACCTTTGACCATTTTTAAATAGGGATTATTAAAAAAAGAGTGGGTTTAAAAAAATAATTTTAAAATAAAGATATTCTAAAATTATTTTAAAAAAATTCTTAAAGCATAAAATAATTTTAAATTAATATCTTGTGATGTTAAATTTATTATTTCTCCTAAATTAATATCCTTAAATTTTTCACACACCACTTAACAACAGTAGCCCTTTTTTTTGTTTTTTACTTTTACCTCAAATCAGTCTTATTTTTTATTTCTCTTGCTTCAATAATTAGATGAAAAATCAATTATCGTATGTGCGGACAGCAGCAATAAAAAATTTCTTCCCTCCGTAGTAGAAAAAGCAATTCACCATTTTTTTTATTCAACTCAACTCATAAAATTGTCAGGTAATTAAATAATATAAATTCATACAGGCCAATTTACTAACTTCAACTCCGTTTTATTTGGTATGTTAGAAAAACAACAAAATACCAAGAAAATCAAATGCTGTAGCTGGCCCTCATTTCTCTAGAACCCAGAAACTAAAAGTTTCCGTATTCACAAAACCAAAGAGAGAGAGCAATTCATGATAAAAATTATGAACACGTGAATACTAATAACGCATGTGTGAATACCTAGTAGCTTCCTCGTCGATTGCTCCAATTGAACAAGAGCAGTTTACCAGCTCTTTGCTTCGGAATTGAGATAAAAGCCAGGTTAGGGCGTGTAGTTGTGGGAAATTTAGGGATTTTAATTTGAGAGAGATGACAAATTTGGCATCACGTGGTACTAATTTGTGATTATTTTGTACTTTAAGACTTTTTTAAAAATACTTTTGAAACCCCCTTTAAAATTAGTTTTTTGAGCCCACCCTTCTCTAGAATAATCCCCCTTTAAATAAGACAAAAATGTCAGTAACATACTCTCTGTTTTT